ATTTAGTTCCCTGCACTTGGCAGTTGTCCCAAAGGGAGAAGAAGGACAGTCTGCCTCATAAGAGCTCTCCCCCATTTAGACTAGAGGTATGACAAACAAACCCAATGGATGTTTACGCTAGGAAACGTCAGATGCAATGCTATATATAGTCAAAGCTGAGTGACTCACGACAAATCAACAGATGTGGATGCTTTTGACCGATAAATATTCCGTTCTTTGTGTCCAATGAATCAGCCGAGTGGCTATTTTTCGTCAGTGGATGGTGGCGATAGGGTAAAATGTTTCCCACATAAGGCCTTTGTCAGACTAACACGTCTACTTTAGTTTTTTTAGCAAAGGGCCTGATTCCTCTCATTAAGATTGCGCTCTTATCGAGAACAAACGGTTGTCAATATGGTCACACTTGAGCGTCAGATCTCCTGTGCTGAATATCAGTTGGTCTGGTGAGCCGAATCTGGGTTGGAGGAGTTTTAAAGGCACGAGGAACGTTTGAGTGGCGTATAAAAGCACTCGCTCTCTCTCTCTCTCTCTCGCCTTGATCTTTTACTGTAACACACCATCTGCACATCTGTCGCACGACGTTAACACTGCCCGCCAACACGGTCTGTTTGTCCTATTCTCTATATCCTCTTCCATTCTTTAAAGGTTAATAGAAAAATGCTTGCCACAAAAGGTGCCGTTGTGAAGAATCGGGCCCCGCTGCAGGAATGAGAGTAAATATGTCTCCGAGCCCTTCGGGATGGCTTTGGGCAGGGGGGTTATTGCAGAAAATTCCTAGGCATTTGTTCTCAAGTGGATCCACCGAACAACCGCATGTTGCAGCTAATGTGGGTGTGAAAGCTGCAATCTGCCAACAAAAAACTGTTTTTGTGGGTTAAAGCCTTTTGGCATTTGAGAACGTACTTTAGCGGTCAAAGGGACTCGTTGGTAAGGAATGTTACTTTATTATGGGTGAAAATATAGTGAAATTTCTTTGAAAGGAATGATCAGTTTTCTTATAGCATAGATAAAAGAAAGAACACACGAATATGGAAGTGTCAACAGGTTGACATTAATAGCGACGTATACAAATACTGTGTATATAAAATCTTGTAGAGGAAAAATGTCTCTGTCTGGATGTTTTCATGTTTGCGTTTTTGTTTGCCTCTCTCTGTTTGTGTCACTCTAGGAGACTACATTGGTTTCGATGGGACTGTATTCAGCTCTATATTAAGGCTGTGGGACTGGGCCGCTTTGGTGGAAAACACTCGTTCCCGAGGGACCGACGTTACCATGAGATCCTACCTGGAACAATGTGATCGGCCACGGGGCTGCCTGGCTGCCACTCCGCCCCCGTCCAACCCTAGGTATCAGCCGCAGGAAGTCCCACACAGCCACTTCCTGTTGATCGCACAAACAATGGCCATTGTCGCTAGTTGATATGATGTGACCTCAGCTCCATCTGCCATGCCTTGCTAATCATAAATCGTCCACCTTTAAACATCTTGAACGGTGAAAGATTGACGAGACCGCGGCGCCGAGGAGCACAAACAAAAACAGAACTGGACAAAAAGTCCAGCTTTCTCAGAACGTGTTCAGGTCGTAAACAGGGTTGTTTATCCGGGGGTTTTCACTTTATCACACGGGGTGGAAGTTATCAGATGTCTACAGAATCACAATATGTTTCAGTTCTATTGTCATGTGCAAGTTCGTTTCAGTGCTGGGGTTTGGTGGATTTTACATTGAGAGTTGCTAGACTGGATTGGGCATGAAAGAGTTTGAGTCACTGCATGTTATCTCGCTGTGAACGGGAGGGTATAGATGGTACGGTCCAGTAAATTCTTCACATAGATGTATATCCCACTCTTCTCAGTGTGTAGCAACTTTGGGGTCAAGGCAAGATCACATAACATAGAGTGGGTTCTAAAAGCCTGAAATCACATTGAAAATCGTTTTTAAAAACGATTTTAAAATTTAATCTAAACCTGAAAGCAGAAGGTTTCAGGATTTTGAAAAATCTAAAAGAATTATGATATATATGAAATGTGAATTTCATATATAATTTTTTTCTTTCTTTCTTTATGAGTCTGAATGATTGTGAAGTTTCCTAGAGCTTATTGTTATTATTATGATTATTCTACTGGAGAAGCAGCATAACAGATCTTGAACAGGACCATTTGTAGGGCGTTTTTTCTAATAAATAAATAAATATAAATAAATAAATAAAACAATAAAATGTATAACATATAAGATATCTAGAAGTGTCAACAGGTTGACCTTAACAGTGACGTATACAAATACTGTATGTATATATTATTATTTAAATAAATAATGAATAAAACAGTAATGAATTAGACACCTTTGTTTTTATAAAACAAGTTTTGGTAACACGTTATTTTAAGGTGTCCTTGTTACACATGTTGCATGTACTTACTATTATAATAACTAAAATATGCATAATTACATGCAAGTAACCCTAAACCAAACCCTAACCATATAGTAAATACATGTGGTTAATTAATACTTAAATATATAATTACATTATAAAAAGGACACCTTAAAATAAAGTTGAACCCAAGTTTTATTTTTGAATTTTTTAATAGCACTCAGGCTTTTGGGACAATTGTAATTGTTATTTGTAATAAACAAAACAACTTTATTCAATTTAAAAGAAGCATTTTCCTTGCACTCTCAGACTTTTTGGACTATAAGAATAAGAATAAAAATAAGAATAATATTAGTTGTAATAAAACAACTTCATTCAATTTAAAATAACAAGCACTCTCAGACTTTAGGAAATGTGTTCTTATTATAATAAATTTGAAATAAGCATTTTCACTAGGTTTATCAGGCTTTTGGTCTCTTCTGTATTAGGGCTGCACGATTAATCGCATGCGATATTTAACGCGAATCTTGTCAGAAAGCCGGTTCTGTAATCAGCGGTAAATAGATGCGCGTTAAATATCGCATGCGATTAATCGTGCAGCCCTATTCTGTATGTTCACAACAGGACTACATGTTGGAGAAGAGTGTGTATCTCTTTTGCAAACTGCAAAACCCCCAGCCCCCCTCCAAGGTCCCTCTTTCTGTACATGGCAGCTGCTGCCTTGATGCTTATGGGGATTAGACACAACTCTCACACAATCTGTCTCTCTGTCTCTGCTGCTCCCTAATGCAGCACACAGGGTTGTGGGGCTGCTGTTTTACCTGGAGAGGTGAGGTATCGTTTTAGTGGTGGCATTCGCTTTTCGCACGGCATTAATAGTTCATTCCTAAGCTGTGAACGACAGTCGTAGCTAAATACCGGACACTGCATGAGAAAATGTGGGATTGTTGTGGCTCTGTTCACCTTAAGTTTGCATGCACTTGTGTGTGTTGCATGTGTGCATGTGTAATTTTGTCTGAGGGAAGACGGTTTAGGTTGATTGAGTTTTATCCCTCCGCCAGCAAGAATATGTCTTGTCACTTGCCCTGTGTGTGCGCGAGAGAGAAAGCGCGTTTTTGCGCTCGCTGTCGGCTTTAGTTATTAGTCACTCACTCTATCAAGAGATGCTTTCTCCCCCCTCCAAATGATTCTTTAGTAATAAAGCTTTAAGCAGACAGCTGTAAGCTGGAGACCAAATACACCCATATATTAAACATCTCCCAGGCTGTTTGATATGGGCTGATGAGAGACTGTCTGCATTTGTATCCTCCTCTCTAAATCCCTTCAGCATTAATCACTGTGCCTATAACACAGATAGGCTATTTAGATATAGAAGAAAAGCAGACTGGAAGATTACCAAATTCCCATCTTATCTTCTGTGAAGACAAATGGGGGTCCCAAAACTCGCAAGACTTTAAACTACAACAAATAATATGGAGAATCCAATAATGAACCCCCAAAATGAACATTGCAGCAAGGGCATTTATAACAATGTTAGACAAATATGGTTCATTTCCTGAATTCACTTACTAGGAGAACCTGAACTGGCTGCCTTTGTGCTGGGATGGTTGTTTCATTTTAATAAAGCCGTTCAGTGACACCATGAGCAGATTTATTATGGAAAATATCATTAAATGCATTTAATGACAGCAGACTATCTTGACTATCTTTCATGAATTGATCTCCTCTCGGATTAATTGTCTTACAATGTAACTTATTTACGATTATAGTAAAAATTTGGCAGCTGTTGTGGCTAGAACTTTACAGGAAAAATTTTACAATTTTAATGACTCTATATGTCATGTTAATGTACCAACCTATTTGAGCTATTACTGTAATGTAACGACTGATAATAAATTAGGCAATTCATAATTTTTACTCAAAATTCATTTGAACAATATTTTACTGTAAAAGTATGCACATTGCTCTGTTAAATAGACATTTTCTTTTACAATTTTAAGCTAATTCATTCATTTATACTTTTGTCTTCCCCACAGTATGTTACTGTAAAATTAAATGTTATAATATATTAAAATAAAATGTTAGAATATATTGTAACTGAATATGGTAAAGTAATCCAGTTAACATTTTTTCTTTTTTTCTCTCTCTGAGAGTGAGAACTTAGTATGCATTAATAGACCTACATAAAACTGGAGAAAAGTTTTTTTTCCCCCCTAAAAATTTAAGATCATACTTTTATTATGCATATGAGTTTTGTTTTTATTTATTTTGTTTGATGTATTTAAAAAAAAAAGTTAAATAACACCATGCCGTTTTTTTTTAAATTTTATTATTATTATTTATAACAATTGATGGCTTTAAGTAAGGTAAAGGTTTATTACAGCATGTCACATGAGAAAGTCAAATGAATCTGAACAGTTAATCGAGAGTGTCAATGACTGCAAGAAATTGAAGGATTAGTTCTGGGCAGTTTCTCGGATGGAAAGCGCTGATATGGTCCGGCTTGAACAGGACACAGGATGCATAACTTTGCGAGTCTTTTTAAACTGTTTCCTTCATTCTTTTGCTTGGAATAGAACAGACGGATCCGTGTTTCCGACGTGGCAATGAGCTATACATGACTGCATGAGAAAGAGAGAGAGTCCTGCAGTTTGACTGTCAATGAACAATTCACTACCTGCCTGCAATAAAGCTTATCCACCGCTAGAGGTCAGTTATGACTATTTCTGAGCACTGGAGTCTGTACAAATATCCTCTCAAGCCGCTCAATGTGATTTACATGCTGTACCTACATGTCTTACATGTTATGTTATAAATACACATGCATGTATCATAAAATATAATATGCAGCAGATTAGATATGGCTTATTAACGGTGCAAGACAAAATTCAAAATGCTATAATTTTTGGTATTTCCCACTTATCAAAGGACTACTTTGTAAAGATTAAGCATTTTTTTTATATCCTGCTATAATTTAACTTGTATACGGTTTTCCTATTTGACTTGTGCTGCATTCACCCTAAATAATTGCTCTGAACTAATGCTATGCCTAGAAGCAGTCTCATTCTTGTTTTGTGAAGCCCACAACATAACGAAAATACCTCAGTTATGCTTGCTTTCTTTTTTAAACCTTGACTTTCCTGATCGTCTTACAACACTGAACAAAAACATCAATGCCTTTTCAGTTGGCACATGTTAACCAGTCGTTTGTCTGTTTAAATGCATTTAAAACGTCAGGGGACGTTTTAAATGCCAATATTGACCTTAAATTTGCAAGAAAATAGCCTATGCACAATAAACTTTTATCCAAATGTAAAATCTACTTCATTACGTGCTAAACTGTTCAGGGTTCAAGTTCATTTGAGGGTGATTTGTTTTCAAAGTGGGTCTCGCGATTACACCAAAAGTCTGTATTATCATTGAAATAACAAGAGTTATAATTGTCTGACAAAAAGTCGTAATTGTCTGATATATTTACTTATATTATGTATTTATTACTAAATGTGTGAAAGGCCTATTCACACCTTTGCTGCTTAGAACTGCGCATGTGTAGGCTACGTGAGGCGCCAGCCAAACTTCTGCCAAAACATGGCAGCTTACTTCAAACAGCGTCTAATTGACACACTCAGGTCAGCAGTTCCAGGTAGTTAAGTTAAAAGTCAGTCACAAAAGGCGAAAATCACATTGTTAACTCCTTAAATAAGATAATGAAAAAAATAAAAAGTGTAATTTTAATCACTGAATAAACCTGAGCAAAAGCTCCATGAAATGTAATGTTTCACTCAAATAATAAATTGCATTAAATGCAGACTTTATTAAATAATCCACGGATGTTTATTTGGATAGACGAAATCAAATTGGTAGCAAATTTCATTTTAGGAATCAAACGTGCAGATTTGTCGCCGACTTCATGGCTAATTCTGAAAATAGCTATTGTGATTTGCTTCCGTTTAAATGGAGCCAGTATAGCCTACTATTAAATAAATTCTCAATAATTATAAATATGAAAACTTGAATATTTATATAAACAAATTTGAAGTACAGCTCAAAACATTTGCCTACACAAGCGTGTTGTGTAAGAGATGCCCCGGCGCGTGACTTGACAGGTGAATTAAAACAAACAGGGCGCTTGTGGGACACTGCTACTGCACGAGGCGCGCGATGAACACCTGTGCGCATCTCTGCGCCACCAGCACACAGGTATAAAGCATTTACCTACCTCCTGACAGTAATTTCAACCAGTATTACAGAGGTAGCCAAGCCAGTGTCGCTCGCGAGAGAAGATGACATGATGGTTGTTGACATTTTTAAAGCGCTCGCCCCGAGTATGCACCTTAAAATAAGGCACCTGGAGGGGCTCGCGCTGATTAGACCCCAGTAAAGAGGCGTTCTAGAGCGGCTGAGGACAACTGTGAAGTAATAACAAAGTGTGTCAAAACTGACCTAAACGCTCACTCACGTTTAAACATCCCACATGCAGTCTTCGAGTACGGGATATGACTTGCAGCCTGCGTTTAGACGGGAATATTTGACATTACCTGAACGAGAAACTCTATTCTAAGGCTCATGAAGTACAAACGTCGTGTCGCGATGCGCCTCAGGTAGAGCGCGTGCACATTAACTGCTTTGAACTGCATGTAGCGCTTTAGCCAAACCCAGTGTGTTGGATTTAAACAGTCCAGTTTTGACACATTTGCTTTGCTCAACCGAGTATAGGCGCTAAGGTAACCACTTTTGGCTCAGAGCCTATTGTTTAGAACACGAAACAAATTGACTTCTCCTCCCCCAAGTCTTTGCCTTTTGTAATTTGCTCTGGCGTTGTTGTTTGTGTGTGACCAGCCCAGGGATTTCACCTCGTCCTTGAGAGACCAGCACAAATCAACCCAAATAAAACATCCCGACACTGTTCACCTCTACCGGAGGGTCGTTTTCCTTCGAGACACGTGGACGAAGCCGTACACAGCATTAGGTGAGTGGATTGAGACCGTATTGAAGTTTAATTTGTGTGTTTTCGTGTTCGTTATAAGCGCGCACGGAGCCGCTGCTCGCGTGACTGCCGGTTGTTGAGCGGCGTTTACGGGAAGGAGCTCCGCGATCTCTCCCTCTCTCTCAGCCCGCTCTTGCGATCTTTCCCCTTTCCATAGTCATAGTAATCCAGCTGGGATTAGAGCGCGTTTCCCTCCAATCATCAGCAACTCGATCATTCCAGCCTCAAACCGCAGCAGATCTCGATCCAAATCGTGTCAGTTTCACCATTCTCATCAGCTCAGAATTGATTACTTTTCATGTAGCTACTGTGCGTATGTGCACACATGCATTTATTAAGATAATATATTTGATGCCCCCCCCCACAAATTCAGATTTGTCACTTTGAAGAGTTAATGAAATATGTTTTCTGCAAGCCCACATGCTATTCATTGTTTTGGAAACAACATAGAGTAGAATAAACACAAAAATAATCTAAAATAATAATACATTTGTAATGTTGTAATTCTAAAATATAGTTATAGGACAGAATATAAAACTGTATCGCTCTGTTGAAAAATTAAACTACTAGAAGACAGATGTGCAGTGATCAGTAGATAAGCACTTGATAAATTATGTAGTACGATAGTGGTAAACAAAGTGGCTTGCTTATGTGTATTTGTAGTGAATTTCTGACATTTTGAAAAATAAGTGAATGTGTATTCTGTTAGGAAAACGATTATGTCCGCAAATGCATCTGAATTGTGGGTTTGGAAATCACTTAATAATAATTTGGGGAAACATAATTTGAACATAAAAGGCTCTGTGACATTTAAATGAGACATGAATATTATTTGACTTATAAAATAAAACTTCTCTCGAAACAGGACTCTGTGAATGTTCAAATTGTTACAGCCATCATCATTTTATAATTTTAGGGATGTCCTGTACAATCTGTCGTTCTATGTACAGTTTTTTTCACTCACAAATTTGACTTGCACAGAAAACGTATGATTTTTAAAATATTTCAATGGCTTTTAATGGTGTAAATCAGAACGCAGTGAACTCCATAAAATTCAGCTGTTGAGTTCACACATAAATCTAATGAAAAATTAACGCTGACTTGTATGGAGAGGAGAGAAGTAATTTGCTCGAGTAAGTCATATATTACTGTGTTGACTCTAATGCGTTGGTGATTGATTTCAGTGTTCACAAATTCATAAACGTTGTGATAAAGTAGTCAGATGATCAACTGCTGTGATTTCTATAATTTATTATAGGAATGAAATGTAATAGGAAGACAAGGGCTCAACAAGCAAAAGGGAAAAAGTTCCTATGAATTCTGATGGAAATCTACAATGATTTTTGTTGCTTTGTCATTGAATTAAGCTTTTCTTTTTAGTGGGGTCATGTTGAATGTACCGAGACTGTTCCCTTTTGGGCAAACGTTCATTAACACTTTACTTGGAGTGACTTTTGGCTATTACCCACCAAGCCTTGCCTCATAATTTGCATAATGAGTCTTTTTCCCCCTAATTTTTATGCTTTCTCAGGCACTTATAAGAATCTCTTTTAAGAGAGAATTTGTGTTTCTTCATTCAAAACCCACTGACTGAATTAATTCCTCTCTAAGTACAAAACCAGACATTAGATCTTGGATGTTGCTGTTTTTAATACCAGAATTCCAACAGAAACTCCCATTGAAAAAAAAAAAAAACACTTGTTGAAAATATCTTGCCGTAAGAGTTATTTTAGGCCGTGTTAGTCGCAGAGTTTCTCCATATCTCCACACAGAATCAGGGATTGGTTTCCGATTGCAGGGAGGGAGAGAAAAATCACTGTTCATGTGCTCTCTCTCTCTCTCTCTCTC